ATTTCTCGTCACCTAGCTGAAGAAGCCGCCCCTCGTGCCGCGAAAAAGGGGGCAGAAAGTTATTAAAATTCTAGTGCAGCGGGATCGACGTCGACTGGCCAGGAATAATTAATCGACGAACAAAAAGATTCTCCACCGTCGCGCCGTGTCGCGCCGTGCCGCGACCGCTGGTCGGTCGTTCCATAAATTAAGATAAATTCCTGTGACACGTCGATTCGTTCGGTAGCCAGGATCGTTGCCAAACATCGACGCAGTTTCTCGCCGCTCACCCCGGGTCGCTAGCGCGACGAAAAAAATGAAACAGCGAGTGTACCAAAAAGAGGAGAGAAATAAAGGAAAAAACGAGCAGGCCATCGGTATTCCACCGGCAAATCTGTCACACCCCCTTTAGCCGGCTTGTAGAACGGAACTGACGCGTATGCTAGCACGCACACGATCATCCCCTGTGCCCTCGTCTCCGCGATTTCACGCGTACGCGTAGAACGGGCGACGGCGAGCGTGTTTCACGGATACGCGCACGCACGCACGCCGCGCCCGGTTCTGTACATCGACGCGACGATTCGGCTACTAACAAACCCAATAAAAATAATGCACTTTCGTGCATTTGCAAATGAACGTTGTCATTTTATTTCGACGGGAATGAGTCACGTGGTGTTGGTGTGCGCGCGCTCTGGGGCTGCCAACAGCTCCCGCCGCTGATAATAATTATGGATATTGAGAATGGTTATCGCTGACGCCCCGCGTATTACTGCCTCGGCCCCGGTCGGCTCGGGCGCCGATAAACAAATTTCCCGTGTCCCAGTCTACGGACATGGCGCGGACCGACCGGCGTCTAACTTTTTTTCCGCGGCAAAAACGAATTTAACCGCGCCCCCGGGCCATTACGCTTTTCGAGCGACTCGAAATTAGTTTCCCCTTAGCACGCGGATCATGGCTGATATAATGCACATTCAATTATTTTCTGCGTTATGTTTGCTTCGGAAATTATCAGCTTCTTCGGTTCCTGATAATTTATTTATAGTTATTAGTGGATGTCAGGCAACTTATTAAATTCATCAATGGACTGGAATAGAGTTTATACATATTGTATAATGAGATTCTGGTGAAAGACTGATGAAAGATTTTTAATTTTTGGAACACGGAAATGAAAAAGTTCTGCAGAAAATAAAACGTAACACGAAAAATGTGAACATTTTGCAGGAAAGAGAATCAGAGAACAAGAAGCGCTCACGTCGAAGCGCAATAATAGTTTATTGCTCGTCAAGAATTTTAACATTGTTAGTTAATTCAATGACTTATTGTTACATTTCACTGAAAATTTTTTATCAGGATTATAGGACCATTTGATCAATATTAAAAACTAAAGTTTGCATTTAAGATAAAAAATTGTAACACGTAATGAAGGAAATTGTGATATATGTATGTATTATGATGATCAATGGTGGCATTGAAATATTGTCACAAGTAATATTAATGTTATCTACATTACAGAAAACACTGAATTTTAAAAGATGAACTACTTCGTATTTTTATACCAAAACGCGGTTGGCTTGTTAAATAACTATTTGTTAACAGAAACAGAAGATGAAATTTTTACAGCTATTTCTAATCTGGTTTCGAAGTATTGCTATGCTAATTTAAAAGCGTAAAAAAAAGTAACGAGGAAAGCATTGCCGTGTATCCATTTGCGATTTTCTTTTTCAAATGAATCGCCTGGCGCACGCATAACGCGTAATTACTGTCCACCAAGCTGAGTGGCGGTACGCCGGCAACGTTTATGTGCCGGTGGTGTAGCGTTCAGTTATACAGAGTCCATCGATGGTCGTCATTTACGGGAATGTCGCATCGACTACAACCGATGCGATGCGTGAGCACTCGTGCGAGCATGCCGGCTATTTATGAATTGACACCGCATTAGGGATATTGCTTAACAATATCGACACTGTTAGCTCGCCGAAGGGTCGGCGTGAAAAGCTGTTATTTGAAACGCGTTATCGTTGCAAGTAGTAATTGCGAGATTGCCGTACACCGAGTAGGCACGATCTCGGGGGTGAGCGCATTACGCACCGATGCCGGAGTGTTCTCGCCTAAGCTGGGAGGGATCGACGTAGGGAAAATCAGTCGGAAACTCGTGCAAGTTTTACGCCCGAGAATTATAAATTTCGACACGGTGTTCGTTTTTAATCAGACTTTCGATCACGTCGTTGGAGTTAGGTACTTTTTGCGTTTCCTCGCGGGTAAAAAAATTCATCGAATCGCATCTTATTAATTTCCATGCCTTGGGATCTCGTAAGTAACTAAGCTCGGTACTTGCGTTTATATTCTGCAATTAATTAACGGTGGTTCGCGGTGAGCCTGAAAGGAGAACTTTGTGTGGACATCGTCGTAATTAAATTCGTTGCTGCGTTTTCATAAAAAAAAAAGAAAATAATGAGTTGAAAAAAGGTGAAAAAGAAATGAGGGTGGGGTAGCGGGAAGAAAGAACAAAAATATAAAAGAGGGTTACGTAATTTCTGACGCGTCCTTTGCGACTCCTTCCGTGAACGCGTTCCAATAGACCGCTCGAATTCATAATTATGAAAAAGTCAAACGGCAAAGCGGCCGCCGCCAGATGGAAGGAAACGAATTCTTCCTGATAACAATAAGGCGAAACCCGGCACGCACGCGCCTTTTTTTCGACTCGTTGTTAGGTCGATGCTTTTTGCGGTTTCCTCATTACTTACTCAACGCGTTAAAATAATTCCGCCGCTGGAATTAATACTACATATTAAAACTATCACACTGCTTGGTTCGTTCGCCGTTCAGTTTTTGTTATGCCTTTGCCGGTAGACTTTCAACGGCTGTCCATTGTGCCTACCAGCTAGACTTGCGCGCGAACCGTTAACGGTTGCATTCATAGCATGTTCCCCTTAAATCGTGCCAATAACACATTTTAAAAATACATCTGTTATACTTGTGCTCACAGTGGCCTTTAAGTCGTGATATACACTTTTGTTATTACCTATGCTCATCAACTCTGCCATAATAAAATAATGAGACATGAGAAATTCGCTTTACCATAGATTATGTACAAATAAAATGTTTTGCAATGTTTTGAAGAAATAATGCATTCTTTTATTTCTTTATACTTGTTCTACATGTATAATAAATAATAGAGTAACATGTTTAAAATCATTGTTTACATAGTGCATATAATTTACAATATGGTACAAGACGTTACCCTGTTAGATTCCTACAGTAGTATACTTGATACAAACGTTCTCCGATCTTCATCGTGGAGCTTGCATTAAAGTGTGCGTCCTGGTATAATATCGCGGCCTAGAAACGAAAGCTGGCCTTCGGGCCTCGGGTAGAGCAAAGGGGTGGCACGATTGAAAGAAAAAAGAAAAATAGAGGTCTCGCGAGCGTGGCAATTCTCAAACGACGGCGGATAGAATGCACGCGGAGCCGCGTGAAGTGCATAAACTTCCTGTGACGCGAGCGGCAGCGGCCGAAGCGAAGGCAGAAAACCGCGTGCAAGTTGCGGGCGGCGAATGCGCGCGATATAAAACGCCTTTGTCTTGCAAAAACTCGCGGACGTATATCATGCGAGCCCAGGCCACCGCCGGGCATTGTTTCATTCTCGCATAATTACCGCGAGTCACGTTTTAAAGTTGAATTTCACCTAAATAAAGCTTAATGTTATTATCGCGGCTAACGGCAAGCGCGCGGCCCAGCCCGCCTGTCGCTATTATGAGCCCGGTTACAGTCTCAAATGTCATTGTGCCGCGTGATCGTTTCCACGATATTAAGGCGAAACGACGTTTTTTCTACTGCCCTTTTACCTTCTACCCCTCGGCTGCAATCGACGTTAATTAGATGCACACCATACTACATCATCGTTGCCGCTGTAGATTATGTCCCCCCAATGCCTGTTCACTTCACAAACCGAACATTTCTATAATTTTTTAATATGCGTTTAATACTCTGAAATCTTCATCATCTCGCCGATGGTCATTATGAGATTTGTGATGTAGTTTCCCTACTCGGATTAAAATTCTGGGCATTTTTATTTCATCATATTCGCTCTTGACTTTTATGAATACGAAGCTTTTAAAATAAGTATCTGCTTCTTCTGTATATGCCTTGCTATGTTTCTCATCCGTGACGAAGTGTTATAAATTATACAACACCGCATTATTTCATTTTACGTGTATTTGTGAATTAATTAATTGAGACAGTCGATAAATTGTTTGTTGCTCTATTCAGGGTAAAATTCTTGAACACAAAGCGCATTAGAACCATGGAGATAATACATTTATCTCTATGATTAGAACCGAAACGAAATTTCGACTGAGAACTCGTACAACAGTTCACGATAATTTAGCGTGCACGCGGGCTCCGTTACACCGTAGCGCGCCGACACTGACGTCAGCGCTAAATCAAGAAATTAATTACTAAAATTGCAAGAAAAACTGGAGCGTGTCGATAACTGATACAACTTCATTAAATTCGCCGATCGATGAGGAATGGTGAACGCGACGGCGGTAGCGGCTGCGGCAACGGCTGCGGCAGCGGCGGTGGTGCGCGGGCAAAAAATCAGGCTATTATCCCGCCGAAAACGGTGGTATTGATAAAACCCGCGTCGCGATCACGGCCGACCGGACAAACACAATGATAGCTAGCGAACGAAATTTTTTTCCATCCCTCGGCCCCTCGGCCCACCTGCCTCGTCCATACTCCTCCCGCGATCCCAACGCCCCTCGTGTGCCTCCCGCTCCACCCCCCCTGATCGCCCCTATACTACCCCTTTCGTGCGTCGTTGCTGCAAAACTCCGTCGGCGGGGTATAAAAGTCGGCGTAATAAGCGGCGAGCGTCCAAAAGGGGTCGGAAGGGGTGGATTAACCGACGGTGGCCGTTGATGGAATAACGTAATACATACGCGATGTTTAATTAATCAATTAATAAGCGTATTATTGTTTTGTTTAATTAAAAATAATGAATCTCTCTCTGTCTGTAGCGTTGGTGGGCGGATTTACCAGCACGACCGGCGTCGGCAGCATCCACCGTACGTATCAATCGCATTTGAAAGCTGACGCAGGCTACAGATGATTATGTACATACCTATGCTTCTGTTCACGTACAATAGGTTTTATTTTAGTATCTTCCATCATTTTTTTTATAATGCACGCAAGGGTTGTTGGGAGATTTAGTAACGTAATGGGATTGCGCAATCTTTCTCTCGCAAGTGAGAAACATGAAGAAGTGGATGGTATTGCTTTTTGCTTAAGGATGTATTGGCTATACAGTCAATCCTAAAAGTTTATGCACTTTAGAAACACATTTTTTAAAAAGAAATCAGACGTCGGAAGAACGATGCTAATAA